TCTCGATATATAATAATAACATGGTAGTATAGTAGTAAAGCATGAATGCAAATAAGAAGGATAAGAATATAATACTTAGAAAAATAATATAAATAAGTATATTTTAATAAAAAAAAGTCAGAATCATATTAAAAAATATGAATATTTCGAAAAAAGAGAAAAATAAAAACCATCCCCAATGAGAGTTAAAATATCTATATGATAAGTATAAGAAATGAATGAAAGATGTCACTATTATCGAATTTGGAATTTAAAAAAGTCTGTACTATCGACCTTGATAGTTTGACCGTCACTCCAGCATCCCCTCAATATCTTGGCTCACAGGGCAGGGCGACGCTTTTTTTTGCCAGATTCTTTCGTTTCATGTGAAAACGCGTCGAATAAGCCTAATTTTATTGATTTTTGAGGTGGGATAGCTAAACTGAATAATTACCTATGTTTTTTATTTACAACAGGAGGACAGATATTGTCAAAGATCATGGTGATAGTTTCTTTAGATTGTTTTCCTCCTGTCAATACCTGGAAAGAGTCTCTCTAGGCCTTGTTTCAAACCTCTCTGAACGTGATCTAAGAGGACTGACATTGTGTAAAAATTTAAAAGAGTTAACTTTGACCATACCCCTGTCAGTTGAGATAAGTCACGAAATTTTTGTAAATTGTCCTAAATTGGAGATGATTGGTCCTGACTAATGTGACATTGCCAATTGCTTGATTCTGCAGTGGCAACAAAAATGCACACACATAACCATTAAAGCATTAAAAAGGGAATGCGATTAACCGACTCGACCCGACTCTAGGATGGGTCAACTCCGATTACAAGTTTGATTTGAGACTCGACATCTGCAAAGTGTCATGATGGAAAGAGTTTTCTTTTAACTTTTATCTAAAATTGTTTATGAGGTTTATCTTATTCAATAAATTGTGTGAGTCAATAAATACGTGGGTCGTTTGATAAGTAAATCTTTATAAAATGGTGTAACATTTGATAACATAACACCTGAAAATTATTACTCTTTAAAATCTTCCAGGCCAAATGTCAGCTGGAATTGATGCGTTGTTCATGTTCGATAGTCATTTAAAGCGAGTGAAAAATTTAGCAGTTGCCATGAACAAAAGGAAAAAAAAATTAATTCCGTGCAAAATTACAGAATTTGGCTTCGAATTGACTCCTCATCCATTTAATTTTGCATAGAATTTGTTTCCTTTTTTATTTATGGCAACTGCTTAATTTCTTGCTCACTTTAAACTACCAAATATGAACAACGCGTCAATTCTGGTTAATATTTAAGAGTTTGAAGAATGATATTTCCCAGGTGTCACGTCAAAAAGATTTACTCATAAAGATTTATCAAATTTATCGAATGACCTACATATATTGAGTATATTGGGTAAGAGATTTGTGCTATATGTTAATAAGATAATCATTGTTAATTATGAAAACATGTATAAAATGTTAATATATCATTGAATGATATATAAATTTTGATCACAACAAATATTGTAATAATAATTTTACAAAAAATAACAGCATAAATGTGAAAATAATTCGAGATGAATCTGGAAAAATGATTCATACAGCCGAAGGGATTCTGTGAATATGTAAACAGCGATGGTAAGTCTTGTAATATTAATATGCTTTATCGTCAATGAATCTACATATACAGCTATAGTATTAAGGCTATAAATCATTTTTCTTTCTAGGAAATATCTCATTAAAATTTGTACGGACAACAAATTCGTGCTGTAACGAATCATCATTTAAAATTGAAAATGGTAAGTGATTTATGTGCGCATTGCTAGATAAAAACCCTTTATTTATGGAAATATTAAAGATAATGATGAAATAATTTCATTCCAGAGAGCATAATATCATGCAGCACAATGGTAAACACGCAAGAAAATAATTGCAAAAATGTACAAAAATTGATAATGGCATATGAGTTCTTACTTTCTTCATCAAACAGTTCTGATGAAGAGTTATAATATAAAGAACGTATTTTAGAAGGGCTACGAGCCAATGAACAATTTTTCAATATATGTTTATTGTAATAAACATTTTTTTTCGACCTCTTTATTGGGTCATCCTCAGTGTTAGTGTTTAAGTTCTATAAACCGCAAATCATATTTACGCAAGCCAGGCCGTTAGACGCAAATTCCATAGTTTTGTATAACATTCTTCAGATTGTTTAGTTAATCCTTGTGTACAATGTATATTATTGTTGTATGATTTGAGAAGTAATAAACAATGTAGATAGATTATACACTCCATTCATCTAACAATGAATACAATTAGTGATTAATTGGTGAATAATTGATAAATATATTCATTTAATATTCTCATGTTATATTAAGTAATTAAATATGTTAATAAATAATTATATAGGATAAAGAATGTGTATATCTACCTCAAATGCAATATATATAAGTAGTTAAAAAGCAACAATTTTTTACAATGAGTAACACAGTTGATACAGCAATATGCAATTTTAAGTCAACAATTATTATAAACGAAGAAATTATAAGTTGATTATATGTGCATCACTAGTGAACTTCCAATGTTATATGACAAATAAAATCTGTAATATGTATCCTATTCTAGTGGAGTTAAGGGTATCGCACATGAAATGCATAACAGAGCATAAGCATAACATAAGACTGCTGGACCAATGAGCATCTAGCATAATGTCGCCATATTGATTTACATAAGATGCTCATTGGTTTAACGGCCTTACGTTATGCTTATGCTCTTTTATGCATTTCATGTGCGATAGCCCTTACAATATATATACTTAATGCAAAAGAGGAAAACATCGCGAATTAAACATTTTGCATATGGTTATGCGGCTTTGCAAGTTTGTGTGGAATACCCATTAGGGCTATATCGCACATTAAATGCATAACAGAGCATAAGCATAACATAAGGCCGCTAAACCAATGAGCATCTTATGTAAATCAATATGGCGACATTATGCTAGATGCTCATTGGTCCAGCAGTCTTAAGTTATGCTTATGCTCTGTTATGCATTTCATGTGCGATAGCCTTAAGTCTCTGCTGAGACAAAAAGCCTGTTCTTTTTGGTTGAACTTTTGCATCGGTTCATCTTTCTTCCTTTTCTTTCCAAAAAGAAAGAAGAAGAAGAAAGATGAACTGCAAAAGTTCAGCCAAAAAGAACAGTCCTAGTGAATTACAAATCTTTCAGTTTTTCAGTTGGCTAATCTGGTGGTGTAATCTGGTGTAATCAACAGCCAACAGCGGCAACAGCTGATGTAAACTGATGTAAACATGGCTACTTCCTTGATCAGAACGTGTACAAAATTTAGGTGATTATTTTTTTTCCTGAAGATATTATCACAATGATCAAAGTCGCATCTTCAAGATTTCCTTCACAGTATGTGTATTTCATTATAAGAGCATTGTGAGGAATTAAAATATCCTTACAATAGAGAAACATAACCTTCTATACTGCACAGTGTTATCAATTTTCTCTACCCTTTAAAAATGTAAAACCGTTACGCAATAATTTGCATAAATATATGTTATGGTTTAACGGAGAGTGTATTTTCTATAATAATTTTATATTACAATTTGCAGTTTACTGAGGCAGCCACTCTGTGATATTGTCAAAAGCGATAATGTAAGGAAGTATAACTTTCATAGTTTGTTCCTGACGTGTACGCAATGCCGGCATTACCATACAACACCAAAATATTTCAAGACCAAATCAAATAAGGTACAATTCTAAATTTATAAAATCACTGAATGCTCTATATGTAAGCATTTAATTTTTAGATAATATAATATCAAAATTTAAAATCATTTATAACAGCCGAATGTTTTCACTCAAATAAAACCAAAAAAACGTTTGCCAGTTGTGGATATATGGAACCAAATGACTGTATCAGAACTGGCAGCATCTTCAGGAAGGGATATAAGTGATGTCATGGATGCAATTTCTCTCTCTGATTCATTTAGACGTTACAATAAAAATACTATTGTAGAGGATCCAAATATATTGTACAATGCTGTGCGGAAACTTGGGGCAAAGTTTAAAGTTATATCTAGACCAGATAGCAAAATAGAAAATAATACACAGGACTGCAATGTTATTAAAAGGTACTAATTGACTATATTATATCCATTTCTATTTCAATGTAGATTAACTTTAATCTCAGTTTAACTTACATTTTAATTTCTAGTTCTAAAAATTAGAAAAAGATAAAGAGTAAGTTAAAACGAGATCAAATTAAAGTTAATTTACATTGGTGGAAACAGGCCTTAATCAAATATAGGATAAGATCAATAGAATTTGTAATATTTATATTTCATTTATATTTTATTTACCAGACCTCTACCGGATGAATCTGTACTAATAAAACGTCGTCCAGTAGTAACAATTATGGGCCATGTTGATCATGGCAAAACTACATTGCTAGATACATTACGTAACACATCAGTTGTAAAAATGGAATTTGGTGGTATCACTCAACATATTGGAGCTTTCAATGGTAAATAATACGATCTTATTGTATTCGTCATCATACACATTATGTTAACAAGTTTTCTCTAATATCCCAATTGATAGTAACGTTGGAAACGGGAGAAACGATTACATTTTTGGATACTCCTGGACACGCCGCTTTTAATATTATGCGAATGAGAGGCGCACAAGTAACTGACATTATAGTACTAGTGGTTGCAGCAGATGATGGCGTGATGGAACAAACTATAGAAAGTATAAATATGGCAAAAGCAGCAAATGTTCCGATTATCGTGGCTATCAACAAAATCGATAAACCAGAAGCTGATATTGTATGCGATTTTAACATTCATTTTAATGATCAATAGGATCATTAATAATAGAGCAACATAGTTTATAATGTATGTATTTTAGATAAGAACGCAAAATATGCTTGCGCAACAAGGGATTCAAGTGGAGGCAATGGGCGGGGACATTCAGAGCGTTAATATATCAGCTTTACACGGAACCAATTTAGATTCTTTGATAGAGGCTATAGCATTACAAGCCGAACTCGTGGGATTAAAGGGTGATCCAACGGGATTAGTCGAGGCTGTCGTAATTGAATGTTTTACCGACCGTCAACGTGGCAAATTAGCGACAGCTTTGATTCAACGTGGTACTCTAAGAAAGGGTGCATACCTTGGTAAGAGCAAAATATTTTGTCTCAAATATGAAAGGTAAAGAAAAAGATATAAGCGATTTCTTCAGAAAAATAATTAATTTAATTCCACAAAACATGTCCCCTTGAAAAGTTTTGCATAACTCTGTTTTTTTCTCTTGCTTCTAATATATTGTAAGACAGTTTAGTAATTTTGAAATGTTAATCTAATGTTTTCGTTTGATGATAGTGAGCGGGTTAGCGTGGGCTAAAGTAAGAGCTATGTTCGACCATTCTGGAAATCCAGTTACGGAAGCCAAATTATCCGATGCTGTGCAGATTATTGGATGGAAAGATTTACCTACTGCTGGAGATGAAATATTAGAAGTTGAGAATGAGAAGAAAACACGCACAGTAATGCGATACAGAGAAGCGGAGAAAGCTACACAACTGGCGCAGGAACATAAAATTGCAGCGGACAAAAAGCATGAAGAATATTTGAAAGTTAGTTTCTTTATAATATAATATAAAATATAGCAAAGATACGCACTATTGTGTGACCATGTTTATTTCCATGTGTTTATCCTGTCTCACTTTATTATTCGATAATTATAGGAATATAAAGAACATCTGGCAAAGAGAAGAGCACTCGGCAGATATGCGAAACTATCAACACCTGTTAAAAATAAGATGCCTGATGATGATGAGAAACCTAAACTTAACATTATCATAAAAGGTGATGTCGCTGGCTCTGTAGAAGCTATATTAGACGTTTTTAATACCTACGGGAGTGACGACAAATGTGAATTAAGTGTCATCCATTATGGCGTTGGACCTATTACAGAGACAGATTTACAAATGGCAGACATATTTAATGGTAAGACATACACGATATCGATTTTAGTATTATCCTCTATAAATCTTAATATCATGAAATATTTATAGCCATCATATATCCTTTTAACATTGGCGTAATGAAAAACTTACAACAGGAAGCTAATGAAAAAAAGATATCGATCCGTCCATACAATGTGATATATAAACTCATTGACGATGTCAAAAAGGAGATAAATTCGAGACTTCCACCGATTGACACCGAAGAAGTGATAGGTATGAGAGAATATGAGTCACAGTAGTAATCGTATATTGATCTTGACCATTGATTTCCTTACAGGTGAAGCAAATGTATTGCAAGAGTTTGAAATCACAGATAAAAAAAAGAAAGTAAAGGTTGCGGGTTGTCGGTGCACCAAAGGCAATCTCAAGAAAAATGCAATGTATCGATTGATGCGTGAACAGGAAGTTCTCTTTACCGGTAAAAATAATACTTAAATGAGAGAAAATCCTAAAAGAGAAATAAAATGACATTTATTTTTATCTTTTTAGGAAAATTGGTATCGATGAAACATTTAAAAAATGAAATTGAAACAGTCAAGACTGACGTAGAATGCGGTTTGAGATTCGAAGGTCTGACATTGTCTTTCAAAGCTGGGGATATTTTAATTTGTTACCAAACGTATCAGAAACCACAAGAAACCGACTGGGATCCCGGATTCTAAACAATTTCAAAGATTGCAAGATTAAATGAAGCAAAACAATATACAATCTCTTCATTCGAGTTAGTTATTAGGTACAGGAATGATGGAAATATTTCCGAATTAAGTACAAATTTATTTATTACTGACTGAGAATCGCAATTTTCTTTTACATTCTTTTTACATCTTTCTTTGACATTCAGTTTTGTAATTTCGCTTTGTGAGGGTATCTGACTCTTGAACGTAAATCGTGAAATTAAGACTGCCAAGCTATGCCATTAATCGTCAGAATTAGAATTATCAGCGACCTGGTCCTTTGTTCACCCTAAATGGAATGGATATTATGCATAATACTTAACATTTTTTTTATAGTATATATCAAGCAATATACAGCAAGATATGTTGGTCATACTTTAAAACGTAGCTTATGGTGATCTTAATTTCACTGCCCATAAAATCGACCTCTTTCAAATTTCCGCGAAATTTTATTTTTGCTTCAACTCGACGAGCGTTAAGACTTATAGTTTTCTAAGACTTATAGCTTCCGGTTTTTAGGTCCATTAGGTCAGTCTGACAGAATATTCAGGTTCGCATACAGCATATTAAGATGCGTAAGTCTCGCGAAAACGACGTTGAAGATGCTGATACGCCGTGAGGACACTACGTTTCTTTTTCTGGAGGCGGCAAAGAGTTGTTTCTTGGTTGGCTATGGTGATCTTTGTATCTAACGGCTCGATAGGAATATTGTCATCTGGATGTACAAAGAAAGCGATGGAATGACGGCCGCGACCACAGTGTTCTGGCATAACAACACGATGTCTGAGTGCTGGAAGCTGCTCGTTGGTCCAGTGCCCCAATAACTCTCCAGTGTTCACTAATATGGCGCCTGGAAGATGACCTACTCTAGCCCATCTTTCCCCAATTTGAATTTCAAGGCCACCTTCGCAGTCCTAAAAATATTTTATCATTTTGCATAAATTATAGGATATAATTAATAATAATTTGTAATTAGTAGCGATCTGTACATATAAATGTATACTGTACATAATACAATGTTACTTTTATATCGACTTGATATTCTTCAATCGCAGTTTGCGATATACTATATTTAAATCACTTCTGCTTAATGTTTAATAATTCATTATCTTTTAATTCTTGCCTAATGCCTTCTCGACGCATCTAAATATCTTCACGTTTTATTTGATAATGGTTAGAGCCGCTTATCGTGAAACAATTGTGCGTTATATTGCGCGAATGAACGTGCCGTATCTCTGTCAGTTTCGACAAAATTGTAAAGATACGTAGAATTTATGATGCGTTACATGCAGAGCATGTCGTGAAAAGGATTTTTCAGAAAATTATTTATAATCTTGTAGCCTTGTAGTGGAAGGACTATAACAGGCAGTAAGTTTCAAGCGTGTAATGTAATCCTGCAATCTGCATACCTGCGCCAACAAAGTGAAAGTGCCATAGTCGCAATGGGCGCCGCATCGGGTCAGTCCTTGTACCGGTGTACCGAGTGGCGGATAGTAGAGGAGACGCAGGGTGGATGCGTTACCAGGGCCGAATATGTGCGCGTGCTTCGACAACAGGAAGTCGTGGGACTGTTCCAAACCCACAGATAGAGCCTGCGGCAAACCGGGTTTTTCATTCTATATGACGGCTAGACAACTCTCACTGAGAGTTACAATTCAAAGATCAAACACAGCAAGATTCTTCACTCTTACCGCGAAAGAATAGATAAAATGATAACAATAGAGCAAAGATGTTCGCAGAAAGAGATAAAATAATAAACAGAATCTAGAAATTAAATTCATATATGCAAACAAAACGTAATTATTAAATAAAACAGGGATTATTACGGTAAGAAGCATGGTGGCTAGTTGCTTGAAATCACGTGTCAGTTCGTCCACTGCTGATCTATATCCAGGAACCTCGTCTTCCGGCAGAATTCGTCCACATCCGGTTACGTTAAACGCATGACGAAGCTCCATCTCGTCCGAAAATCTTATCACATGAGAAAATAAATTCAATTGAAATAAAACACTGACAGAAACATATATGAGACTATCGCAATATATACGCAAATTTCATAAATTTTACAGAATACCCCACATTCACTGAAAAATAATTATTTGAAGTTTCAATATTCACAAATTAAATATAATTTAGATACATATATGAGTTGTGTTCCAAAATTTACTGCCAGTACTGAAAATCTATAGTGCACGTAACGTAAACCATAGATTTTCAGTACTGGCAGTAAATTTTGGAACACAGCCAAATTTATGTGTGAACAAAACATATCGCTCATTTATTACAATAACGATTGTTACAACGATATAGATCAAAAAACAAAGTTTTCCAGAAAATGAATTTAAATACTTTGAATTATAAAAATCTTATATTTTTAAATGCAATTTTGAATAACTGATTGTATAAAAATAAAAGTATGTTCTTTTAAAGTATTTTTCTTTTCTTGATTCCCTTTTTTCTGTAAGCAACTAAAAACTAACAATTTTTTAGTTCTGTTATCGTAGCAAATGAGCGATATAATTATGTAATGATCAACTTTATTAGAAACAGAAATATTTTCAGAATATAGACCGAACAATACATGTTGCTTTTCGTTATCAAACTACAAATCGCGGTCGGTTAATAGAAGAGAACGTTCATTAAATCGAATTGCAGCAAATTCAATTACGGGAACAATTTGAGAACGCAATTTTCCAACTTACTTCTCTGTGCCTGGTTTAACGTAACCGTGATTATCCGGCGAAACGCGTTCGTATTTTGCTCGCGTTTCGTCCGGCAATTCGCAAAATGTGTCTAGAACTCTGTAAGCTGCCTTCATCTGCAAAATATGGAAAATAAATTTATAATGAAGCTTGCAAGGTGGAACGATTGTAAGATTTTTCGCTTCGACGTCGCCATTAGGTGTGAACGAGACACAATAGAAAGAAAAAAACGAATATTTACGTAATGATAAGAAGATCCGCTTTCGATGAAAATTATTGCTCCGAATGGAGATTCGCGTATCTCTTGTATCTCGACAACTATAATCGCATCTTTCAAATTTCGCGTTACCTTGTTAAGGGGCAACATGCGTAACGCGGAGGTAGACATTGCGATGATATTTAGATCATTTCGATAACGTTCAACAATAAGCAGTTTCGCAAATGGCGAATTGGACATTTTTGACCGATAAGTTTCACTTAATTAGAAAAGAATTCCAACGCGAAAAAAGAGAAAGACAAGAGCAGCAGAGCGCATGGAAGATATTTTCGCAAAAAAGATACGAGCCACATTGCAGTTTGCGACATCGCTCTTAAATAAATCGTTGAGAAATTATATATACTGACACCCGATTTACACGATTTTCGTTTCAATTTTCCTCGCGAATAATCGCATTTTAAATTCAAATTTAATTATTCAAATTGCTCAGGTAATCGCGTCGATCTTCGACGAAGATTTCTTTTCAAGAAATTGCGCATTTTTATAGTTTTTCCTTTGCGGTTTTAAATACACGCGACATGTCCAACGCCGTATAACTGGCTGCGTTCAGCAGAAAAAATAGCAACTGTTGTTTCAATTCTTTATATGATTGGTTTATACATTTAAATCCAGTGAGGAACTAAGGGTAAGATCATATCAAAGAATTTTATAGCAGTTGCAAAGTTGCTTTTTCTATTGAACGCAGCCATTGCGCAAGGTGTCATAACACGCCGCGTTCGCGGCATTCGCGCGATTCCTCGAATGACAAGTAATATCGGGAAGGTAATGTCACGAGGTATCGAAGACCAAGCAGTGATTCACGTGCTGACGCGTGGGTCATATGTCACGCGACACGGTTCTCTTAGCCACGGGCAGTACCTCTACGGAAGATGATCGAGCACGATGTTTATTCTGATATTATCGGTGGCGTAATATCACATGTGCTCGTTACGTAATGCCAGAAAAGATCGGCGTGATGGAGGAAAAAACCCGAGAATTATCGCTCCTAATTCCGTCGCGGAATAATCGTTGCATGTCGACGCGCGCTTATCCGCGTGCTATTTCAATAACTGCGAAATGGAAACCAATACGTGGAACAAAGTGCATCGTCGATTACGACGAGTGCGGCTTTGTTCCAGCCATATTCTACCGCGTATTGTCCATTGCCGTCGCTTCACGGTTTGTGATTCGCGAAATCTGTAGCAGTCCACTTAAGAATGATTGAAAACGCGTAACGATTCTTTTTCGCAAATTGTGATTTGATTGCGAGATCTGAAACAGTCAGTAAAAGTCTGTTCTCTGTGGCTGAACTTTTGGAACTTAAAATGAAACAGGTATACGTTTGATATTTGGCGAAAGCGAGAAAGAGAATTATAGTGCAGGAATAAAAAACAGATCTTTAAAAATAATCGAAGACGCGCGAAGGTTTTTTTTTCATAAATTATAATTCAATCACGAGATCTGTGACGGTCAATAAAAAGATTTTAAAGATACAAAGATTTCTTTTTACACAAACTGTGTACAAAGATTTGAGACAAATCAATAAATATTCAACGATCGAAGACACATGGCGGTTTTTTCTCATAAACTTTGAAATTTTTGAAGTGCTACGATGCGATCATCGGAATTGGTGGGGCAAAAACAGTAAATCAACTCTATCAAGATACAAGCCGATGGTTAATCTCAACAAACATTTCTTTTCTACACGTATCTGGAAAAAGTATCAAGGAAGAGACAAGAGGATCCGTGGGCTACTCTAACAGTAATTCCGACAATTTATACCGATCGATAACACGGACAAATTAAAAAATCAAGTCCATGTGTGTGTTGAACAAAGACCACGCCTGTTGAATTTAATGACTTGTGTCAGACTCATTCGGTATGTTTATCTTAAACGATAAGCGATTACTTGGCGTTTTAATGAACCTTCTGACTACTGCACATTGACTGTAGTGCTCGGGATCGAATCGAAATCTCACGAACTTCGTTCAGGCGATACTTTACAAAAGTATCCTTGAGAAAACGTCTTATCTTCCTGCGGTGATGTATTAGCGGCACGT